TAGTGATTAGCATCAGGTTCGACTTGATGATCCCTACCCATTGAATTAAAGATCTGGAGTCCTTCCTCTACCAACCTTGAGTGGCTACAACCAGACAGAACACCAGTAAAAGTAACAGAATTGGGCTTCATCCCTGACTGAAGCATGCTCTCGAACAGCATAAGTACTTCTTTTCCATTTCCATGCATTGTATTAGCAATTATCATCGTGTTCCAAGCAACAACATCTTTTCTGTGCATCATATCAAACACATTCCTTGAAAGATTCAAGTCACCACATTTAGCATACATGTATACCACCGCAGTCATGGTTGTCAAGTCCCAAATTAACCAATGCCTAACGACATAGCAATGTACCTCCCTGCCCATCCTCAAGCTTTCTAAAAAAGAGCAAGCCGGTAAAAAACTACTAATTGTAATTTGATTAGGTTTAAATCCCATGTTTTGCATCTTCCTAAGCATCTCCACTGCCTCCTCTATTTTCCCGTTTTCCATGCAACCCCCAATAACAGCATTCCATGTAGCTTCATCTGCTTTGACTCCTTTGCTCCTCATTTGGGAAAACAGGGCAAGACCCTTCTCATATTCTTTGTTTGTGAAGTATGCCGATAAAAGTCCATTCCAAGACACAACATCTCGATGAGGCATCAAATCAAAAACTAGTCTAGCCGGTTTAACACTCAAACATCTAGCATACATGCTCACAAGAGCACTGCAGACATACACATTTTCCATCATCCCATGTCTCATTGCATATCCATGAATAGCCCTTCCAGACTTCAGATCTTTCAATTCCGAGCACGCAGGCAAAATGCTAGACACTGTCACTGAATTAGGCTTCACCCCATTCCGTCCCATCTCGCGAAAAACAGCTAGGCCTTGTCTGGGCAATCCACAATTGACATAGCATGAAGACATGGAGGTCCAAGAAACCACATCTTTCACAACCAAATCATCAAAAACCCGTCTTGCACCTTCAGTGCATCTACACTTCCCATAGGCATGAATCAATGCATTTCCTAAGAAAACATCAGAAATCATCCCACATCGAATGGAATCATCATGAATCTCCTTGACTCTCAAGAGATCACCAGAGGCACCAGAGGCCTTGGCAACAGCCAGAAACACAGAGTTCTGGGGTTTGATCTTACGTTCCCGAAGCGAAGCATAGAGCCTTAAAGCCTCATGTGGAAATCCATAAGTAGTGAGAGCTGAAATTAATGTATAACAAGTGGTGGGGTCTGGTTGAGGAATATTATCAAACAGTTGTTGGGCACGCCTTAAATCACCGACATTCAAAGCTGCCTTGACAAGACTGTGACCCAAGTGAGATGGGAGGTTAGTGCTCACAGAGGGAGCCACCTTTGTTGAAGGTGGCTGCTTCCGCAAGGAAGGATTAAGTTTTATGATAGCGAGAACTGACAAAGGTAGCAAAACAGAGCCAAAGACTACAACTACTCACAATCTTCATTTCATTCATTTGGATCCATTTTTTGTATTCGGATTCAGCTCTATCGGGTCGGGTAAATTTTAATGGTTTCTAATATTCTTCAATTATTAAGCTCCCTTTTTTTCTTTTGAAAAGGTAAATTGCCTTTTTGTTAAAAGAATTTCTAGAGAAAAAAAAGTTAAGAGGACGATTATTTTTAAAATGAATAAAAAAAGATACACCTCTTACACCATTAGTAAATAATATGTTGATTTCTGTTAAAAATAATTATACAAGTTTCGAAGCCTATTTAACTTGCTTTAAATTATTAAAATTGTTTTTCTAAATCAACATATAAATAAAAAAGAGAATGAATTTTAATTAAAAATTAACTTAACATAATCTAAAAGAAGATTTAAAAGTTTATATCTACTAATCAGTCTTTGAAAAAATTTATATTCAATGGATATAACAAATATTAAAAGAACTAATTATTTAAACAAATACTTGTCAAATATTACATTGGCTACTAATCATCATTTCAAGTAACCTTAATCCAACTAAATTAACTCTAGTAAACTAATAATTTACTGCATTTTTTTAATTTAAAAGCCTAATCACTAGTCAAAATAATTCAGTGACTTAGAGACTAATTTATTCTATATATGTATTTTTCCTAAACTCGTGTTTAATTAGAAAATATACAATGTGAGATGAGACCAACAAATTGAAATACTCCATTTTCTTTTTAGGTTCTCCAATCTTAACATTTAAATATTGGTTTTGTAAATAAAATATATGTTTAATATATTTATATATTTTAAACTTTACAAAATTAGTCTATAAAATAAAGTTTGTATCCACTCGTATATTCTAAATAGGTCTTATCTTTAATTTATGTTAGATTTCTAACTATCGTGAAAAAAATATGAGTAACTACTAAAGAACTATGTATTTTCTCTGTGAGTAACTATCAAATAACTATATTTTAGTAAATATTTTTTTTTATTTGTTCTAGTTTCATATAATCCATTTATTTTTTTTCTTATGGTTATGATAAAAAATGGTGAGTATTTTTTTTACACCATCTCACATTTTTTTTGTATGTATTTTAAAAAATTATACACCTTATTTTATTTTTAATGAATTTTAAAATTTATTGAAAAAAAATTAAAATTAGCTGAAAATTTTTTCTTTAACGAATTTTTAAATATATTAAAATATTGTTTTTAACTAATTTCGAAATTCTTTAAAAAATTTCAAAGTTTCAGAGAATTTTTTGAGTTGGAATACAGTGAAAATAAAGAAACCATTTTTATCTCAAAAAAAAAACACAACTATTTGTGTCAGGAGGATAACACGATAAAACGTAGGTGTGGTGGGAACGTAGCGGACGCTGTTGAATGAAAATCTTCAGTTGTTGGTACCTTTCTCTCTTTCTCTTTCACACTCACTTTCTCACTTGTTAATTCTCGCGAGGAATCAATCTTCGCACATCACTGTGTATCCACTGTAACTAGTTTCAACATACCTGTTGCAAGCAGAACCTGTCCACAATGTTTCTTAGTTTTTGTTCTATCTGCAAAACTTGATCAACTGGGACTCATTCACCATCGTTATACATCATTTTCCTACTTCAATCATGGCTTCACTTCTGAATACTGTGTCACCAGCTGCAAATTTATCCCCCAAAACCAAACGACCCACTTGTGGCGGTTTCTTGCACTCCCAGGTTCCGAATCTTCACACTTTTTCCATGAACAAGGGTTTTTCTAGGGTTTCGGCTTCGACCCAGATTGCCATTACCCCAAAAGATGCGGTTTTTAATCTCCCCAATTGGAGAGGTGGGAGGAATGACCCTAGGGACAAAGAGTTAAGGGTCTATGATGCATTTCTCCATTTAGAGTATTTGGTGGGTAAGGGCCAAAAGCCAGAGGTGACTCAAGCAACTCAGCTTTTGTATGATCTTTGCAAGTTTAACAAAGCTAGAAAGGCTGTTAAGGTGATGGATATGATGGTTGATTCAGGTATTATACCTGATGCAGCCTCTTATACATACTTGGTCAATTTTCTATGCAGGAGAGGCAATGTTGGGTATGCTCTTCAGTTGGTTGAGAAGATGGAGGGGCATGGTCTTCCAACTAATACTGTTACCTATAACACTCTTGTTAAAGGCCTTTGCATGCATGGTAACTTGAAGCAGAGCTTGCAGCTTTTGGATAAGTTGAGAAAGAAGGGCTTGGTTCCAAATGCATTCACATTTTCTTTCCTTCTCCAAGCGGCGTACAAGGAAAGGGGAGTGGATGAGGCCATGAAGCTTCTTGATGAGATAATTGCCCAGGGTGGAGAGCCTAATTTGGTTAGTTACAATGTGCTGTTAACTGGGTTGTGCAAGGAAGAGAGAACTGAAGAAGCTATCAGGCTTTTCAGGGAATTGCCTGCAAAAGGGTTCAGTCCTAGTGTTGTGAGTTACAACATTTTGCTGAGGAGCTTGTGCTATGAAGGGCGGTGGGAGGAAGCTAACGAACTTCTTGCAGAGATGGATAAAAGGGACCAGTCTCCCTCGGTGGTCACTTACAACATATTGATTACTTCACTTTCATTTCACGGAAGAACAGAACAAGCTTTTCAGGTTTTGGATGAAATGACAAGGAGTGGATTCAAGGTGAGTGCTACTAGCTATAATCCGATTGTTGCACGACTCTGCAAGGAAGGGAAAGTGGATCTTGTTGTTCAATGCATAGACCAAATGATTCACCGGCGTTGTAATCCTAATGATGGAACGTACTGTGCTGTTGCAATGCTGTGTGAGCAAGGTAAAGTACAGGAGGCTTTCTTTATAATCCAAAACTTGAGTAATAAACAAAGCAACCCCATGCATGATTTTTACAAAAACGTGATTGCAAGCCTGTGTAGGAAAGGGAACACATATGCAGCCTTTCAGATGTTATACGAAATGACAAAGTATGGATTTACTCCAGATTCCTTTACTTATTCATCTATGATAAGAGGAATGTGTAGGGAGGGAATGCTAGATGAGGCTCTTAAGGTATTCAGGATTTTGGAAGAAAATGACCACGTTCCTAATATTGATAACTACAACGCACTTATACTTGGATTTTGCAAAGCTCGGAGAACAGACATATCAATAGAGATATTTCTGATGATGGTTAACAAAGGATGTGTGCCTAATGAGAATACCTATACCATTATTGTGGAAGGACTTGCTTTTGAAGAGAAGACAGATATAGCTGCAGACCTGTTGAAAGAGTTGTGTGGGAAGGAGGTTCTGAGCCAAAGTACTGTTGAAAGGCTTTGTATGCAATTCGACTTCAAGGAATTAATAGCAGCAGAATAGTGACATATACCCCTAACAGAAAGTAGGTAGGCCTATGACTGCCTTCAGATATGAATGGAGTTTTCTCAGCTTGTTTTGTCCTTTTAGATTGTTAATTAGGTAAGTAAAACAAGTTACCAAATGCTTGCAATTTTGATTGAACATAGTGTCTAGAGATGAATAATGAAAAGGCTCAAGCAGATAATATAATGCTGATTGCATTCTCTCCCTTGCTTTAGATTTAACATATTTTGGCAATTTGAATTCTTCGAATGATCTGTATTATCCATTTGTAGGTTTGTTTTTTGGTAATAAATTATTTTCCATGCCATTTTTATTGCCTAATGAATATATGCTTACCCCGGTTCCTGCTGGAGTTTTTGTTACGAGCATTAAAAATACACATATATTAAAATTCTTTAATATATCTTATAAAACATCAAAATTAGTGTTCATCACTATATTTTGAAGAAATAGTTGAGAAACAACACATAAAAACTAATCCAAATTCTTACCCTCTTCATTGAAAGTATTTCATTTATTTCAAACTATGAATTCTAAAAGCAAAATTTGTTGTTCGAATATATCAAATTTATGCTTACTATTTCTACTTCCGAAGCCAAATGTATCTTGTAAAGATGATCTTTATGGACTTCCTTAATCTTCTATATATCAAGTGGGTTTCCTTCTGCCCTTTTCTTAGTGCTCGTTCTCCGTGGATGGATGGTGGTGTATCTACAAAAGACACTCTGATGTCCAAGTTAGTAGAGTACGTCACATAACAATTATGGGTTTATGGGTCGTTACTTATATGGCTTGGGTGGGCCATGATCCATTTACCTGATGAGTCAATTGTCTATTAAGACAAGATCGTCTAACACTATATGTTAAGACAGGATCGTCTAAGCAAACATTGCTTTGAAGTTTAAAAAAACGTCTAAACGAAATAGTGTTTAACAATGTAAACCGTTTAGGATAAAATCGCAAAGCGCTAAACATTATACATAAAACTTATCCTAAATGTTATGTGTTACTCAAACAGATAGTGCATAAATGTTTATTCTCATATAATGCCTAGACACTTAATCGTCTGACGCTTTAATGTATGTATGTAGTAGTACTATTTTTCATGTTGTATTGTGTTCTCTATTTTCTGTGTAGATCATCTCAGTATAATACCTTTATCCAAAAGTCTACATCAGAATCAAAAGAACATTTAGAGATAAGAAGATATTCTAGGAATGTTTCTTTCATACCTTCTATTTGTCTCCTCAGTACATACAACATAGTTGTCTTTGCAAGACGCAACACATCTTTAGCTTCTGACTTCATACGAAAGGCTATATCCCTATGCAAAAGTCGAGATGTTTCAAGCCATCTTAAGCAATGATATTATCAGTCCTTTTGGACAGAGATGTGCCAGTCCACTTGATGACTTGGGCCTAAGCCCAAACTCTATTCAAGGGCCCATTACTAGAAGCATTTCGTGATTCTGTTGTGAGCTGGCTGTGTGTTTAATATGTACACACCATATGAGCTATGACAAATTAATTGAAAGCTCGGGTGCAAGATAAGTGGCATCAGTCTGGCATTCAAAGTGTTGCTGAGTTGTGCAATCTGTTTTGGCAATTTAAAGCTGTTTACAACTTTCAAATTTGTTTTGAGATTCAATTGAGTTAGTAACAAGTACATACCACATAAGCCATCAAATGCCTAAGCATAGCTTGGTTGTAATTGTGAACACAATAGCAAATTCTGATTTAGCAGTTGGCCGCGAGCTGCATCTTCTTTGCTTGAGTCATTTTTTTGAATTTTCAAATCTGTTGTTTAGCATTAGTCCATTGCTGAACTCCTAGTATTTCTATTCTTGAGTCATTGTAAACCTTTTCTTCACATTCCAAATTGCAGAATTAACTTGTTTAGACTTTTGTTACTTTGCATAAAAGTCATAAACGAATTTTAGCCATCTGGTTTGATCAATGTGAAAAAGGCATGTTGAAAAAAGAAACTGCATATGTGATTTTGAGAAAAAGCCAATTAAATGTTGTAATCTGACTTTGAGTAGTTGTAACAAGTGTATTTAAACTTGTTCTATCACTAGTGTAACAATTAAATATGGCTTCCTCGCTAGTGCTCTCTCACTTGTAGTGGCCTCTCCCTTTCTATCACTAGTGAGCATATGCGTAGTTTTTCTCTTTCTTTCTTCACATAATATCATTGACCTACGGTGGTGCGAATTGTACTTACAGAATCAATGTATCATATGAAGATGATTTTTATGGACTTCTTCAATCTTCTATGCATCAAGTGGGTTTCTTTCCACTCTCTCATTGGTGCTTGTCTTCCATAGATGGATGGTAGTGTGTGCCTGCAAATGACACTTTGACGCCTAAATTATTATGGTGCATCAGATAGCAATCGATGTTGTAAAAAACAAACGTGAATTATCTACCTTGATAGGTATATTATTTATAAAATAATTATGGATTTATAAATCCTCACTTATACGGGGCTGGGTGGACCATGACCCATTTTCTCATCAGTCAATTGTCCGACTTAGAATATGTTAAATTAAAAAATAGCTCAGTGTTATTTCCCCCCCTTTTATGTTTAAAGTCCTTACTTTACTTCTTATGCAGTTGCATTAAATTGTATATATTTCATTTGAACTTCCTGGGAGCATTTTAATAGAACAGTAGAGCAAGTTGCTGGATCAATCTCAAGGTTAGGAGAATTCTGGTGGTGCAGAGAAAAGAAACTAAGAAGAGCCAAGGTAAGCGACGCTAAACATTGTGAAATATGGTGTTATGATTATATAATTGGTGAATGATTCTTTCTAATATGATGAATGCAAATTAACATGTACTTTGATTAGAATAAGGTTTTAGTTATGTTTAGCAATATTTGTATGTGACGTTGTGAAATTGGTCCGAATAGGGGTTTCAAGCAGAATAGGAATTTAGATAGGTTCTCTAGGAACATTGGATTAATTGATTGATTAAGGTGCAATGTTGTATGATTGCTGGAGAATTTCACCTGATATAGTTTATAATCCAGAAAACCACACCATTAACTGAGATTTTGGTTAAGAAATGAATATTTAGTAACCAAGGTAAGTAGTTCAATGCGCTTGGAATTGGATAAGTGCAGATTTGT